GTCTCAAGCAAAATCGACCGGACCGCTCTTACAGAGACACTCTCTTAAGGCCGTTTGCGAAATCTCTCTTGAGTGATCCGCAAGGCTGACAAAAGTGCGAATCAGCAAAAGCGCGGCAAGTGCTGGCTGCTTTAGTCCTCCTTTGCCGATCATTTCCACCGTCTTCAGATTTTCGCGAATGATAGGTTTTAGATCTACAGTACAGTTTCACTTGCTGCGTTCGTTGATCAGTTCAATTCAACAAGGAAAAGAAGAAAAAGAAAATCAGTAAAGAGGAGAGACCATTCTAAGGGAGACTAAGGTAATGACCAGGTGTTCTAGTGTAAAATTCACACACTAATACTCTTTCGGTTAAAATTGATTCACGACCCGTGAAGTATATCAACCCCTTGGCTGTAAATGTAGTTAATCGAGGGTGATCTTGGTAAATGTTAATCGATCTCATTGAGTGTAAGTAAAATTTTTAAAGGTATGTATTGCATGATGGTTCCAGATGGTGCTGTTGCCAATTCTAACAGTCTGCATAAGCTTGAACTAAACAGAGGCGGTCAGGCGTTTTATACAACATGGTGAGAGCCCATCCAGTTGACTGAGCGTACACCTTAGCTCAATTTTTCCAAAATGTCTTTGGCGCAATCAAACTTCTGTGCAGTCATATCCAGTGTGTCCACATTCTATTTGTAATAAAGAAAAGGTGGGAAGCTGTTTAAATTAAGTCCTGCAACATGTCCTTTTCCCGAACGCGATCTTGATGACATGTTTTGCGTAAGATCGCGAGACTGAATATTCTGCCACACCCTTCTTAGGCAACACAAGCACTGCGTTGCATCATCTTTCGGCGTAATACCTCGTTACGATCTGAGATAATGTAGAAAATAAAATCTTTTTCCTGCAGAATTTGGGCAAGATAAGCGTCATCGTTGTGCGCACAAAAGTGTTTCTTCCTTTCATTATTTCCGTGCTCGGTGGAGGACGTATTTGTTAACTAATTGTTTCGCACACATTGTATAATCGAAAGAAGTAGTCAGCTCTTTGAGAAATAGAGAGTAAAACTTGATAATACATTGTGTTTCTGCCAATTTTTTCTTAAGTGTGTACCACCCCGTATTTACCATTCTTCCAAATCTTTCCGACGGTTAAAATGTCAAGAACGCCAACGTTTTTATTTCCGTTGGATGTCTTTAAACTGATTTCATGATTGGCACTGAAAACGACTAATTTCCTTGATAAATTGATGAAAAGTGATTTGTTTTTTTTATCTCAGTTCTACCAGCAGTCGACTTCTTGTTTCTACGAGTTGTCATCGATGATAGTTGATCAACACCTGGTTTCAGGTTGTTTTGTTCAAAGAGAGTTTTGGTAGAGATACCTTACATGATCGGATGAAAACTGGAATTCTAAGTTTTTTTATCGAACACGAGTTTATTTGTATAAAGTTTTCTCTACAAAGCTATGGATACAGTTTTAATCGATTTTTCTCCTTCCCGAAAACCACTGTTTTTGCACCAGTCTGCTTTTGAATTCAAACTTAGAAAGCGGCGACACAGTTTGCTTTGATCTCTCAGTTCACCTAGATTCGGTGCCGACCGTTTTGGGACACCTAAATCTACGAAAAAAGGAAAAAGGAATTCGCTAATGGCTTCTCTGAAAAGCTTGCTTGGATGAACGACATTTTAACAGTGTGTTAGTTGTAAACGATTTTAAGAAAATTACCCTTCGACTCGAGTGTTTCAATAACTAAAACTAATTATTGTGGAGAAATCACTTTCTCCAAACAAAGGTTTGCTAAATTGTTCACTAAATGATTTAATTTTCAGTTTATAAGATTTATGTCACTTTCCTTGAAGAATTTTGGACTAGTTATAAAACACGTTCTCACGATATATCAGCTTCTATATTTTCTCCTAAACCTAATCTGTTTCGATGCTTCGAATTTGGGTTGTGTTTGGTGTAATTTCCTTACCTTAAATATCATTCTTTAATTGGGTTTCTTTTCGATTAATTTCAGCTGACATTTCTGTTTCTATTCATGCTGTTGCAATAGTCATTTTGGGAAAAAGTATTGATTGCAAACTAAAATCTCCGTGGTATCCGATTCAGATTTTTTCAGAGCTTTCTTTAGAAACATGACCAGAAAGGGCAACAACGACATGGTCGGTTACAATAACGTTACCTTCTCTGATATCAATGTACTTTCAAAAACTTAAATGATGAAAATCATTTGTCTAACAGTATTGGAGTGATTTGGAGCACTGAAAGAGACATTGTGATAGAACGATGAAGATATGATACGATTTAGAATTACCCATGAAAGTAATATAGGTCTACGCTTTGTTTTTCTGAAGATAAAACGGCGCATTTCGCAAGCAGAAGTTTATTGAGTTCGCCAAATGCTTTTAATACTATTGGGAGCGTGGGATAAATGTCCATTTAAAATCATATTCTATAGCATTATCAGAATAGATCATTACTACCTTTACAACAATGGCTAACCGGCCAGAGTATCCTCGTTTCTAAGAAGGAAATTTCGCAAAAAAAGGAAAAATTGCGAGGCACCTTCCATCATGCAGGAAGATTCTTCCAAAAGATGTTCGAGAAAATCCGTGCGAATCACCTCTTACTATTAACTTTGTATTGGAAATTTTCTGTAGAAATCGCTGACTGCTATGAAACGTAGGAGGAGTCAATATGGCTTCTGTATTGAAGGAAAATAGATTTTCAGGCAGATAGGCCTAATGTACAGGTTTAGTGTTTTTTCTTTTGCCCTACGTTAAAACAATCATTGATAAAAAAAAAAAAGCCAATTATTATTGTTAAATCAAGATAATGGCTTTTTCAATATCATTTCAACAATTGCTTC